AGAGACCACTAACTCGAGCATAGCTCAACGATAATTTTTTCAATTAAGAGGTTGTGAGTTCGATCCCCACCCTATATATTGTACTTTAAAAAAGTGAGACCACTCTAAATAATGAAATAATAATAAATAATGAATAATAATAAAGGGCAATTGATCACTATGTCTGGGAAAAAGAAGGAAATTTAGAAAAAGCCAAACCCACATGGGTGATGGGTCCACTAAAACAAAAAGATTAAAATGTTAATGATTTAATGGATTAATTATATATATAAGATATGGTTTGGGTTAATGAAGATTGTAAAATGGCCATATTCTTTAAGCACATCCATAATGGAGTTGTAAAGATAATGTTGTTTAATCATGTCCTACAATATTCGGTTCTTGTTGTTGATTACTTCTATGCTTTAGATTTAATTAGGGATTTATGGTAATATAATTCCAACCAAAACATATTAATTTTTTTTTCCTTTCCACCAATGATGAGCGGAATTAGAGGTAAAGGTAATAAAGATATCAATCTGATTTGGAAAAAAAATTGGTGCAATTTTATTTCATCCGTACAAAATTAGATTTGCTATCACATTATTGATATGGTCAGAGTTATTAAAATTGTTACATACTCGAGAATGTCTAAATCTTGATAATTTTTTTAGTCTCATGTATTGTGTCTAGAGGTACATTACATGACACCCATATTATTAATATTCGATTAAAAAAAAGATCCAAGAAGAATGAGATGTATATGCATTTGCGTTTTTTAGTCAAATTTATTTTGAGTGATGATCTACCCTTTAAACGTTTTCGACCTATCGTGAACTGGTTTAGTGGGTTATGACCGTTGAAAACAGTAAAAGTATGGATAATTTTTCTTTTCGGAATAAAAAAAGAAAATTTTATTCTCTCTCTCCCATTTCAACATTTCCTCGACAAAAACATAATAATGGTCACCACTGGCAGGTGGTGGCGTAGTGGGCTTGTGGCCAAATGGAATACCCTCCTCGATTCGAGCACTACGTGGTGCGTATTTGGGGTCCCCCATTCTAAGGACAAGTCCCGCAACGTCGGTTACAGTAATGGGCAGCCGTCAACACCCCTCCCTCCGAGATATAGTGAACATATATATGGTGTAAGTAAGACGACATCAATTCTGAGTAAAAAAAAAAACACATAATGTTGGTCAACAAGAGAGTCAAAAAGTAAGTATTATTCTTAACCATTCTACCAATTTTCTTGACAACCAAACATAGTTGGATCGTCAAAAAATTGTGTTGTGAGATAAATCGAGATGTACTCAAACCCTCGCAAATATGAAAAAGAAACGTAGCATATTTAGATTAAACCTTCCATTTGAAGACTTAAATATCATATCAAAAGGGGTAGAAAAGTAGGGCTATTGAGAATTGGGGATGAGATGTGTAATGAGAAAGATAAGAAGATATTGTGTGTTGTCTGTGTCAATTGCAACAAGCTTGGTGTCCCAGCAAACAAAAAGCTTACTTCATCCAATAAAAGAAAAAGAGAGATATATATGATGAAGACATAAAGGTGTTTGATGAGGAAATCTATTTAATGTGTGTATTATGAAATGAAATGATGGGTTTTGGCTTTGTTCCTCCCAATGACAAAATAACATCTCTTTTCTAAGGACTCTTCTTCTTGGCTTTCTCTCTTCTTTTCTTACCATTGTCCATTTCCTCTTCCAATTCTTTGGTCATTCATTTTAAACTAGCAACAAAGAAGGGTCCAAATACCCCATTTTTATGTATTAAAATGGACCACTCTGGTCCTCCATACGATTTGTAAAGTGGGTCCTGCTATTTAAATGGTTCAAATTTCACAATGGAGAGGAATTTTTTTTTTTTTTGGGATCCAAACATTACAGCAATTTATTAGATTAATTATATTATTAGGCTCACAAGTTTAACCTAATGGATTTTTTTTCCATCCTTTTGCCATCAAAATTTGGCATAGGTTTATAAGTTTTCATATATTCTCTTTCCTATCACAAATCAAACTTACCACAGGCAAGATCAAACAAAATCTTGCCAAAAAGTCAACTTTTCAAAGAGATTTTAATAGACAATAACGGTCAATTTTGATTTAGGACTAATCAACACTTCTAAAAAAAACGAAAAAAAAAATAGTTGTGATTTGGTCTCTACGTGTGGATTGAATGGAAGATGTAAATAAATAAAGGCGTGTTTGGTTGTTGTTCTTAGAACACAGAATTTTTGTTTTCCAATAATAACATATTTGAAAGTTGAATCTCAATTTAAAAAATAGTTGAAGATATATGTAGTAATATTTTTGTAAACGAGTGGTAGTTACTAATTATATATTTAGTTCAATCTAAAACATTATCAATTAATTTATTAACATATATAATATAAATTTTGTATAACTATTAGTCTACAATATTAAAAATAATTTATATGTTAATAAATTATATAATATTCTACAATATTATATAATTTATAATATATTATGTTTTACATGTTGAATTTCTATAAAAATGAAATAAGTCTATTACTTAAAATAATATATTTATCAAAGATTTTATTATTATTTTTTTAATTCTGCATTTCAATGTTTCAGATTCAAAATCGGGGTACTCTTAAAAATTAAAAAAGTTATTTTAAGAGTTTCCACGGTTTGAATCACATAACTGAAAAATAATTTTCGAAAACAAATCTAGTAAATCCATATGATGTTTTAGTGAGCCTGCAAATAATAAACATGGATGGCGGGGTTGAAAAAAAAATGATTGGGTACTTAAATAGTAAACAAGAAAGAAAAATGAAGAGAGCATATGAAGGTTTGCCAAGTGAGGAAATGAAAATGTAGGGTTTGAATGTCACCCCTCAACACCTTTTCCTTTCAACATCCCACAACTTGCATTGCATAGCATACCCAATTGGAGCATCAAACCTTGGGTCCATTGTATATGAGACTTTGGATGTGATGTGATGTAATTCATCTGTCCCTACACTATATTTAACGTTACGAGACTATTATTAGGCTTATCCGTTTAAATTCTAAATTTAATTTCCAACATGTACAAATACTTTTATTTATTTAGCTGATTTGAGACTTTGATCGTATTTTCCAATATCCCTAAACTTTGAAGTATAGCTTCGATAGGTGAGATACCCGATTAGATAAAACTTAAATTAAATGGCGTGATTTGAAAGTTAGTGATACGAATTGCTATCGAGCATAATGTGAACGTTAAGTATGAAATTCATATTAGTTCTTCTAGTATATTTTCAACATTGTTTTTTCCAAGGCGTTACGACATAACTTGTAAGGAAAAATAAGGTATGATTTTTGAGTTCCTTGGAGTGCGAGGGATAGAAAGGAATAAAGAGAGGAAGAAAGAAAAAAAAATGTTTGATAGAGAGAGAAGCGATTTGTGTGTGGGAGAGGGAGCTGGGCAGAGGCTGCAGAGTTTGCCTCCTCTGTTCTTCAACAATCCAAAATACATTTCACTTTTTGCTACTTTCTTCTCTCTTTTTCTCGGAAAAAGAATCTGTGGAAGTATTTGAGCAAGGATTTCACTTTTTTAAATATGGAATCTCTTTTTTTTAGTGCAAGAAACATCTTTTATTTTATACTTTAATAATTAAATAATGAGAAATTAATATATATATATATATATATATATATATATATATATAATTTTTTTTTTAAGAATTGATTTACCTACCATCATCAATGATAAACTATGATTATTATAGTAGATCCGAGCATAATTCAGTTGTTTAAGTTATTAGTATATACGTTTAAAAGTCAGATTTTCGATCTCCACATTCTTGTTTGAACCTAAAGAATAACATTATTCAAACAACGATTACTATATATATATATATATATATATATATAAAAGTTGATTACTATTGTTAAATCAATAGGTGATTGGTAAGTTTTTTTTTTTTTTTAATATAAGTGATTAGTAAGTTTTTATACTCTACTACTCATGATTAATTAAAAAAAGTGAATTAAAGAAAGCGTAATTGGTATATATTTTTAACCAAAGGTCGTGAGTTTGCTCCCATGTGTTCTAAAAAAAATAATTGAAAAATTGAATATTAGAGCTTGAATAGTCTATTTTTGATCGACTATATTAGTTTTGAAAATCAGTCTAAAAAATGTGAACTATTTTCTAGCATCTACGAGTCGACAGATATTATTATTTGTGTGAATTCTGCCGATATTTCATCATTTGTCTAATAAAGCTATAACTGGGCTTGAATATGGGAGTCGAAAAGGGCCCTCTTTCCTTGGGCTTGCCTTCGGCCACATCTTAGTCCAACATGTAAGATTTAGAGCCCAACAACCCAACCATCAGGCCCATTAAGAAAATAGATATGCTTCATTGCCCAACGTCTCCATCTTTTGGAAAATGGTTCCATCTTTTACAAATTTCATAAATATTTTTAAAAACATTTTAGTAAAGATATATATACATTTTTATTCAATAGTTATTTAGCCACTAAGATTAATGACAAAATTACAAGAATAATCTAAAATAACAATTAAAAATTTGAGAATCAATATGCTTAACACCCTTCAAACTCAAGATGCCTCAACGGTGTAGCGATATAATTCTAAAACACATGTATGGTACGAAAATATTTAGATGATATAAAAAATTTCAAGAATTACATATAATTTTACTCATGCAAAAATATATGAGCTTTCGAATTTTTTCTCCTCTTTTTCTTTTTAAGGAAAAAAAGATTTTGTGTGTAATTATTTTTTTTTTCAATAAAACATGTGGGGTGGGACATAGAACTCAAAACCTTTTAATTAGAAGATATGTATCAAATTACTGCGGAACTAGTAGATTTGGTGTAATTCTTGAGATGAGATGGAAAAAAATAATATTATTTGTGATTTATTAGTGGATTTAATGTCACAGGGCACCCATAAAGATGCATACGTCAGCCGCCACGATGGATCAAACGATCACCTTCGCCGAAGCTCCTTTTAACTTGGCCAACAAATATTTATCGCTGCCCCAATTTATATTCTTTCTGAAAGCTTCAAATTTCATTTCTAAATCGCGATTAGGGTTTTCTCTGCTACTTTTCGATCGGTTCTTGTTCAAAGCTCCAGTACTTCGCGCTTCGTAATCGGATTTTCGGCGTCAATTTATTCAGGTTCGATAACTGTCTATTCAATTTCAACCTCTTTGTTATTGAAACAATCCGGATCTGGATCTGTAATTTATCAAGCGTCCGATCGAATTAAGTAGGCTTTCGTATCTATTTAGGCGATTCGTCTTCTGTTTCGCAATCAAAATTCCATGAATTGAACTTCTAGGTCGCTGTGCACGAGGAATTTATTTGTTTCACTTTTTGGATAGTTAGGCGATTAATCTATCTCTTGTTCTGGGAGACGATGGGGGCTTTCATATCAAGATTCTGGTTCATGTTATTTCCGGCGAAAGAATACAAGATCGTGGTCGTAGGGCTGGATAATGCCGGAAAGACGACGACTCTTTACAAATTGCACCTGGGAGAGGTTGTTACTACCCATCCTACTGTTGGAAGCAATGTTGAAGAACTTGTGTACAAGAATATTCGATTCGAGGTGCAGTATTTTGCCTTCTTCTTATTCTATTTTGTTTATGAATGCTCCTTGTTTGTTGCTCATCACATTCCATCGATTGGGGATTCTTTTCCGGCATCAATTTTATTCTAGCATTCTATTCGAGCATTGGTTTGTAAGGTTTTGCACTGTGATTCTTGAACTCTACGGCTTCGTTGGTGTATTGTTGCCCCTTGATTTTGTGAGTCGGTGTATTTGGTAGATGCAAAAGACTACCCGACTCAACCATAGAAACGAAAATGTGGTGCGCAAGAAATAGTAAAGCGTGTGTTGTCTGTAAACTTGAAACTTAGCGTGCAAAATACAAAATTAGGCGTGATAGTATAAAGCAACATATTCCCTTGTCATCTTCCTGGAGGCTAGTTCTGTAAAACCCAGGCTTTGATAAGATATGTTTCGTAAAGAGCTTTTATCGGAACCTTCCTGAAATCCCACACAATTTGCAGCTTTTTTAAGGGAAATTTGGGTGGATTAGGTTTATAATTGATTTGAGTAACTTAGCCGTCAAGAAGAAATGGATTCAAACCACGATGACCACGTACCTTGGATTTAATATCCCATTAGTTTTTTTGTCAACCTATCGTAGTAGGGTCAAGTGGTTAGTCGAGGTGTACGTAAGCTAGTCCGGAGACACGAATATTAAAAAAAATGATTTGAGTAAGTTCTCCACATAATTGGGCTGGTTTGTTTTCCAAACAATGGAACTGGAAAGCAGAGTTTTATCTGGAAAAGTATATACTGGCTTATTCAAAGACCAGATATATTATAAACTTTGCACAAAACCCGTCTCAATTTTTCATCTTGGAAGGCGAAACTGAACTTTTCCCTCTGATGCTGAGTAACTAAACCTGTCTTTTTTTGGCTATGTTTTCTATAGGTATGGGATCTTGGTGGGCAAGACAGGCTTAGGACATCATGGGCAACATATTATCGCGGTACCCATGCAGTAATTGTGGTGATAGACAGTACAGATAGAGCAAGAATCACCATTATGAAAGATGAGCTCTTCGGACTACTTGGCCACGAAGATCTTCAGCAATCTGTGGTGCTCGTTTTTGCAAACAAACAGGATCTCAAGGATGCCATGACCCCAGTTGAAATCACCGATGCCCTTTCACTTCACAGCATCAAGAATCACGACTGGCACATCCAAGCCTGCTCTGCCCTCACCGGAGACGGTCTATACGATGGTCTCGGGTGGATTGCTCAGCGAGTTACTGGTAAAGCACCCAGTTGATAACGAACTCACTGCCAGTGAGATTTCATTCTTACTCTGTAATCTTTGTGGTTAACCTCCTCGTCTATTGTCTCATTTTATATTAGTCTTGGAGCAGCTTATGCATCCCTTTCTATTACATTTTGGTTTCAGAGAGTTGTATTAAATTTAAAAAAGAAAATGGAGCAATTCTCTCATTCCAAATGAGGTAAGAGTTGATATGCAATTGGCTCAGAGATGAACTTTTCTTTCCGTCTAATTTGATCGAAAATTTGAAAACTAAATTACAATAAATAGAAATTGTTGCCAATCAAACTTACCATTTACTAAAAATATGTTGCTCTTTTCTTACAGAGTGATCAAACTAAAGAGGGTCAAAATATTCACTGCAACACGTTACCATGGATTGTGTACAGTTCTGGGAATTGTTTTAATCATTTTTCGAAGATTTCAAAAATAATATTCAACCTGTAACACTTAAACATCACGAAATTTAGAAGACAATATTTTAAAATACTTGTTGAAAAAGTATCTCATTTGTGTTCTTTCTGAAAGTACTTTTTGGAATTTCTCTCTCCCAGAAAAGAAAAAATATATTAAAACTCACTCTATATTCTATACCAATTAGATTACCAACTGAACCAAAGCCGCTCACAAATAGAGCTTTCATAGGCAATGAGCAATCACACTCTGGTGAAAACCAGAAAAATATTATCAAACAGAATGGTTACAAAATCAAGCATCTGCATTGGCATCGGCATCGATTCGAATCTTTCGGCCCCTCGAACCATCGATCCCAAGCTGGATTTACCGGGCCGAGAGTTCTGGCAAAATCCCAAACCAAAATGAATCAGATTATCATCTAGTAAAGCTTCGTTTGAAGATTTTGAAAGTTGATGACGAGAAAAATGAATGCAAAAGTAATAGTTATAAGCTTAATTTTCAAAATGACTATCAAACGAGACTTAAAAAGACTTAAATATTTAAGTAAGATGCTTCATACTCTGGAAGGAGAGGGTCTGATCTCATTTCAACACTGCCCAACAACCTGGTGGGTTCAGATTCAATGTAAAAAATAGGCTGAAGAAGTTGGAATTTTGCATACAACAAATAAAGAAATCCATAACCAAATCCAACTTACTCTTTACATGATGTTGATGCCTTGCCCATTTTTTCTAGCTGCTCCAGTTCCTCCTGCAAGTTCAACCCACTGAATTGGATATCCCTGATTTTAAGTTTCATTCTATTCCTTTGTTCATCTCTTTACCGATGAAAAGTAAAGCTTCAATAATGTCAACAACTTAGAGCAGATGAATTTGAGCACTTAAACCAGACTCAGAATCAGAATCAAAATCAACCCCATTAGTTACTTCAGTAATGTCCCACTTCAATTCAAATTCAGTTTTTTCAAAAGAGAATTAAAAAAAAAAAAAGAACAGGGGAGAAAGAAGAAGAAGAAGAACCTCTAGAAACCTAGCCTCTTGCTCGAGCCGCTTCATCTCGGCCTGCAGCCTATGTTTACCGACGGCGTCGACGGCGGACATGGAGTGAATCCGATGAGTCATGGGAACAGCAGCAGCTTCCGCCATAGCCGACTGAGCAAGCAAAACCCTAAAGAAGAAGAAGATTGAAGTTTACAGAAAAAGAGAGAATTAAAGAAGAAAATAAGGAAGACCCAGAAATTTGCAAGGGGAACCAATGAAAATTTCAAGGGAAGAAAGGGATCTGAATAGAGGAAGTGAAAGGGGGAGAGCGACGGGGCTGCGGATTTTGTGGGTTTCTTTCTTCTGTGTCAGAGTAGAAACTTGAAAGTAAAAATATATAGTGAAGGGAAAAAAGGGAGGTGAAATTATTGAAATTGGGGCAAGTTTTGTGAGTGTGTTCTTGGAGGAAAGTTGATTTGCTTTTTCTCATGATTCTTGTATTCTGTCGGCTTTGTCTCACTTCCATTGGGAATTCGCCGAATTCAAACATTACATAGAGTCACCACCACCACCACCACGCGGTACTGCTTAAGAGCGTGATGAACAGCAAAAAGGAAAAGAGAGAAGATTAAGCTACGTAGAGCTTGGTAAAAGTCTGAATTTGGTCAATATAATTTTTAATTTTCAATTTAGTCCCTAAACTCCTTTTAAAAGTTTTAATTTAACAATCATCATAAGTTAGTGTTTACCATTTGAAAAACTTTGCCAACACCAGATTTTAAATAGAACACTGCTATGTAAAAAAGGAATATGATAATTGTTGGGTGGTTGGGATGCTGATTGTCGAAGGTTGAGCTGCCTCACCATGAAAAGGTGTGGGCCGAGCTAATAGGTCGAGAACGAGGCTTTGGGCAACAAAATAAAGACCAAAGCCAACATGTGTGAAGACGGTAAGTCCAGTCGTTAGTACGGCCAACAGAACTTAATAGGTCATCTAACCTCAGAACAATAGAGTAGACCGACGGGACAAGAAACTACCGACTTGCCTACTATAAATATACCTTCATTTCATCCAATCGTGTATGAAAAATATATTTAAAGTTGATCTGCCCAGTTCAAACTATATAACTTAAGCGTATGAGTGTTTTACCTGTTTTAGCAAAGCTTTCTCCCGCTCGCTACACAATAGCTTTCTAAGGTCTAGCGCAGGTCGAAATCTAAAATTATAGGGACTTAGTTGAAATTTTTAAAATTATACTAATCAAATTAAAACTTTATCTAAACTATAGCATCAAAGTTGTAATTTAAAAAAAAAAAAAAAAAACATTTTATGATTTTGTGTCTGTGGGGACGGGGAAAAGTTGGACATTTGGGTTTTTTTTGTTTTTTTTTTGAAAAGTGATATTTTTTTGTTTTGTTTTGTTGTTGGAGCAAGACAAAATCCTAAGTCCAGTTTTTGCTCTTCCTTTTCTTTTTTTATCTTTTACTCGCACTACCTTTTGGGAGAAATAATTTATCCTGTCCATTTACAGTCTTACTTAAACAGTTATTTCTTTTGCTACGAAATATTTCTAAAGTCTAACACTACAGTTTATCTTTTGTAAAAAGGACTACAAAAATTTCCTCTCTTGAAAAAAATGTAAGAAAATAATGGAAATAGATGTGATGATTCAAGTAACCATATATTTATATCTTTTCTTAATGGTAGGTTTAAATTCACTTTCTTTTTTTGAAAATATAATATACGTTACAAATAGAAGCCGGTAAAGACTCGACCCTTCAACCAGTACAAATGTTACTAATAACTTTACCAATATAGGTATGTTGGCGTTCAATTGGTTAAAGTATATCTATCTCCGACCAAGAAGTCATGAGTTCGAATCTCCAATATTCGAAAATTAACAGCTTTAAATTTATTTTATTTTATTTTATGCAAATATAGTACGACATAGCGAGAGTGGATAAAGTGCAAATCTAAATTAAACCAAAAAAGAAATCAATTTTTATCTCTAAATTCATAAGGCGACTCATTTATTACTCTTAAATTTTCAAATTTTCAAATTTGACCTTAGACTCTCGTGATTTTTATCTTTCATTAGATTTACCTATTAATTTTAGTAAAAATTAAACTTAAAAATTCTTAAAATTTAGTGATTTCAACAAAAATGAAGCTCTAAAACGAGTTCAATTAGCACAACCAAAACTCTAGCAAATCAATTCGCAATATCCATCGTTAAACAAATCCTTAAAAAAACAAAAAACAAACTCGACCCTAAATTACCATGTCTTTGTTTGTAAATTATTGATTAAAAAAAATATTTACCTGTATTCAAAAAATACATATATATATTTACCTTGCCAAGTTGCATAATAAAAATTGAAATTCCCCCTTCCCCCTAACTCTTGAAAGAATCTTTCAATTTTATACACGAATTGAATAAATATTTACTAAAAAATTTGAATTTCATCAAATTTTGAAACTTACCTTTAGATAATATATTACAATTTTCTCTTAGAAAACATGTCTATCCCCTCTAATGTTATAATATTATCTGTTTTGGACATATAATCACCCAAAAGTCTTACACCAATGGAGATGTTGTCCCTCGTGTATGCAGGTAGGTATGTATGTATGTATATATATAGACATGATTTTCTCTTCCTCCTCTCAAACAAAATACCACCGAGCTTTTCCTCAAGTAGTCATTCATTCATACACTCTCAGACGCTATAACAAGAGCTTGCTCTTATCCAAAGCTCCATACACACTCAAATAAAGCATAACCACATATGACACCATGACTACATCTTCTGAGGCTCACTTCTTCTTTGTTCGGCACTTGAACATTTCACCAACGCAACTAAGTTTAGATCGACTATGGCTCTGATAGTAGATGTTGTGTGTCCATCTGAACAAGGGATCCTCTACATTCTCCAATTGTATAATATTGTCCGTTTTAAGAATAACCATCACAATTTATCTTTTGGTTCCAAAAAAAATAAAACATCATGTTAATTGAAATATTATCTTTACATATATATTCACAAGTTTCTTCTTGATTAATGTGAAACTTTGTTTGCACTTTTTACAAACTCAATACGTGAAAATAGAAATTTAAATTTACGACTCTTTAATAGAATATAGATGCTTTATGGTTCTTTGGATGGATTCTTGTTTGATTTTATTATTATTATTATTATTTTACGTGCTCTTACAACTCTTATTAAAACATGCATTGAAACGTGAATTCTGAAAACCGTCACGTCTCGAAAATTGTATAACCCTTTTCCTCTCTCTCCATTAATTAATATATATGACGCAGGTTTTCGGGCAAAAATACCACACAAATTTGAGAAGGTGAAGAAAACGCGCCGATGGAGCGCGTAGGCAGTGCAGCCACGGTGGTCGACACGTGGAAATCCACTACTAATTAAAGAGGTGACCATTTTTGTCGTTTAGTGACCCTTTTTCTTTCCAAATGTTTGGCTTTAGCCTACCAACTTTAAAACATATGAATCCACCTCAACGTATTTAACCATTATATTAATATATATATATATATATATATATGATTTTTTGCTCTTTTATATTATACTTATGTGATTTTTAACTAATTTATACATATTTAAATAATTTTATAAGAGAAATGTCTTTTTACTCACAATATTTTATCATAAATTTGGTAGAATTTTGATATCTTAATTAACTAGTCACTTTACAATTTGAATTCATGTATCAATTTACTTTTATCACATAATCTAATAGATAAATTTGAGCCGATTATGTTTTTGTTTATATAATATTAAGTAAGGATTAACAAATTCTAAAAGGTTGGAAATTTCATATGCACCCAATTCTAACCAAAATTTAAACTCTTCATCTTTTAATTAAGTTTCAATCCAAACCTCAAATCATCTTTTAATAGTGGTTCAAAAAAAAAAATATCTTCTAATAGGCCTCAAACTGAGTCATATTGATAATTATATATTGTTTTTTTTTTTAATAAATTGTGTAGAATCCTATAGTTCAATTGCATTTTTTTTCCCTTTGAAAATTCTATTGCCACATTCCTTTCATGTGCGTTTCACGTATTGGTGTCGTAATCTTGCCATAGTTAAAGTGTGTTGAATGGTCAATAAAGTTAATGCTTTTATTTTATTTTGGGAACAAATTAATTGCTTTTATTGGCATGCTTGATAGTGTTGTAGTTTTATATACTGAGAAACAAAAAAGAAGTCAATAAAATCGATATGATTATATATCAAAAAAGGTTTTTCTTTTATAATTATTATTGAAGTTTGGAGAAATTCACTCCAATGACAGTATCTAAGTTTTCACTTTTGTTCAAATAACCTAGTACAAAATTACCCTTAATATAATGAAAAACTTAAGTCTGAAGTAGAAAAACTAGACAAAATCTCGGGCAAGATCGAAGCCAACAGGCCCGAGAATATAAGTGAAATTCGACCGAAATTGTTGGTAAATGGACAATTTTTCTTATAACTTAGGGGATCTCAAACAACTTAAATTTACCTATACTAACTGTGTCATATTGTATATATACTTATCTACGTCTTAGTGGTGTGAATGTTAATGTTTTACATAATATGCCTATGTTACAGTGAAAAGAGCAAACATTGGCTGGATCCCATCTTTTGGATCGGATGCTCGTGTCTCAAAATCAATAGGGAATAGCCCACTTATATTATAAACCACTATAAGATTAATTTTCTTTTCAATATTAGATCCTTAACACACATTAATTCTACCAAACAAAAGCGCACCTCTATGAAAATTATTTAGGAATTTCACATACATATCATTATTTGTTGTAAATTAAGGGTAAGGGCGATGTGTTGTTATTTTATTTTGACTTTTGAGTTTGTCTGAGTAAGTCTTGAGGGGACGCTATTATTTGGATTCTTTCCTAAGGCTAAAGAAAGCATGAGATGAAACAGTACGGTTACTACTCAGCTGAAAAAACTCTCTTTTGCTTTTATGTGTTTACTTTACGCCGAAAAGAGTTTTCAGATTGCCAAAAAGCCAAAAAATAGAACCAAGAAAAACAGAACTTAAACTCAATTTTTACCCTGCAGCTTGCTCCCCTTTTTTACAGTCTGAGAATGAGAACCGATCCGGACGTCTGCAGTGCAGAAGATGTCTTTTGGTTTTGGCTTTTCCTTCTTTTTAACTTTTTATGTTTGGTTTTTTACCGATTGAACGAGTGGTGTTAAAAAAAATCAGATATTTATTTATATTAATGTCCTCCTATTTTTTAGGAGTCAAATATTTTTTGCAGCTACTCAGTTGCACCTTTACACAATAGGAGAAATTGTGTTTGGGGAAGGGAATACTCGGGACACGTGGAAGACCCTTATTGGTGCTCCAAGATGACTCATGAATCATGCCCAGCTCGGAAGGCCGAGATGGCCGCCACCAACGCCGACAAATGCCAAGTGTGAGGGCCGAGGTGAGCCTGGCACAGGTCCGACCCACCGGGGAGCTCGGTATGGGCCGAGATGCGCAACTGTCTGCGGCGTGATTATCGGGCGTAACCGTC